ACACGTGTACACACACACATAAGAATAAGCATGTCTCTCCCTCTCCTCAGAAACCTACCTGTTTGCCTGCCTGGTGGATTTCTTCAATAACTGCTCCAGATACTCCAGGTACTGTAGGCTCAGTGATCCAGGCAGTGAGGGGCAGCCTCTGATCTGTTAATGACTGATGTCGCAGTAGTTTCATCATCACAGTATTGTTTGAGAAACATGGAAACGCTGTGAACATAATGTGTCCCTGTAGCTGTGAGACTGGGTTCAAAGACGGGGACCTCTTCATGTCCTACAAGAGCATGTTCCAGGACGTCCGAGATGCTGTGGACTGGGTCCACTTCAAGGTAGAGACTCCTGTGTCCAGTTCCACGTCCTCCAGTCCCTGCTTGGTCCATGAATGTCCTCAGTAACCTGGTTTATTGTCACAGGGCTCCTTGAAAGAAAAAACAGTTGAAAACCTGGAGAAGTACGTGGTGAAGGACGTAAGTGGAGCAGCTCTGAGTCTGCATGTACTGTTGTTGGTGTTGGTGACACATGTTGTTGAGAAACGTAGAAATGAAATGATTTTAACGATTCAGTGTTTGATGTGTTTGTAGGCGAAGCTTCCTCTGCTCCTGAGTCGGATGAATGAAGTATCCAAAGTGTTTTTGGTCACCAACAGTGATTATAAGTACACAGAGGTAAAGTCCAGCTGTTTGCATCTGTTTCTGTAGAAAACCTCAGAATGAAGAAGAAGACGGCTGCATGAACAACATCATCGAATTAGTGCATCGTTTATTAAATATTTTTCTTTACAGTGTAACTCTGGGTCAGGTTATCTCCAACCTTTTAATCTCAGAGATTAGTAGAAAAATCTTTACTGCAGAGAAACTGAAGCTGGATGACAAACACCAACGAGTTAAACCACAAGAATCTATTAAAGACACAACTTCTAATGTTCTGCTTCTAAATTCACGTCAAACTGAGGTCAAAGCTTAGAAACAGGATGTCTAACAGATACTTACTGCATTAGCTTTGTCTGCAGTAACACTGTGAGGACGCCTGGAGGCGGTTTTGACCTGGATGCTCATCGTAAACAAACATGAGCGTCTCTGTAATTACAACCTTAGACTGATGCTGAAAACTTACTGGGACATTTTCAGCTCCATCAGCTCTGAGCTCGCTGCCATGGAGATGCTGCCACCAGCAGTTTCCCTGCAGGATGTTCACCAGTGTTGGTGTTTGTCACTAAGCTGGAGCAGCTTGTTGTCATCCTTTCAGAGCGACTCCCAGCAGGCTGAGGGAAGAAGCCCTGTAGGCTGTGAGTTAAGGCCTAATGCATGAAGCACTGCTAAGATGCTTCCAGCAGGTTCTCCCACCTCTGCAGAGGATTTGTTTTGTTCAAGTGATGTTTGGATCCTGGGTCACCTTCTTGTCTAAAGACCTTCTTCCCGGTTAATCAGTTTGACTGCAGAGCCAAACGTCTTCAGATCCCCACAGGCTTTGACACAGTTTCCCTCTTCTGTCATTCACCAAGTTCTTCCTTCAGTTTTGATCTGTCCATCG